TTTCCCGCCCCAGAATTATAAACAGAAACAGCAGAAGAAAAATACTGCCAAACAGCTGACTGCCGGTCGCTTACCAACACTTGGCTTTCTCAGGGCTGCATTTCGCTGCAGTAGAGGAGATTTTTCCGCGCGTGCATTTTATAAACATTTCACAAACAAATCCAACGACAGAAATATGTTCGATGTGGAGACCATTACCGCCGACCACAAGGATGTGATACATGACGTGGTGTTTGACTATTATGGTCGCCGCATGGCCACCTGCTCCAGCGATCAGACAGTTATGGTGAATAGCTTGCCGGCGGGGTAAACAAGAGCATTTTCAAAGAATCTATGTTTGCAGATCTGGGATGAAGATGCGCAGGGCAAGTGGAGTGTGACGAGCAGCTGGAAGGCGCACTCGGGCTCCATCTGGCGCGTGTCGTGGGCCCATCCGGAGTTCGGCCAAGTGGTGGCCACCTGCTCCTTCGATCGCACGGCCTCCGTGTGGGAGGAGGTGATTGGCGAGAAAGTCTCCACAACGAACACGCCGACTCGGAGATGGGTGCGCCGCACCACTCTCGTGGATTCGCGGACCAGCGTCACGGATGTGGAGTTCGCCCCAAAATACCTGGGCTTGCTGCTGGCCACCGCCTCCGCGGATGGCATCATACGCATTTACGAAGCTCCCGACATTATGAACCTCTCCCAGTGGCCGGTGCAGCATGAGATAGCAAACAAGCTGCCGCTGAGCTGTCTGTCCTGGAACACATCCACTTACATGGTCACCCAACTGCTGGCGGTAAGTACGCGACCCAGCATACTTTTTGATCCCGCATCTCCACACTCTTGCAGGCTGGCAGCGACGACTCCGCCACGCCCACGGGTAAAGTGTTCCTCTTTGCCTACAGCGACAACGCCCGCAAATGTGTGAAGATTGACACTGTAAACGACATCACAGACCCCGTCACGGATGTGGCCTTTGCTCCGAATGCAGGACGTACCTTCCACATGCTGGCCGTAGCCAGCAAGGATCTTTATATTGTAAATCTTCGCGGAGTGACGTAAGAACAGGAAACATTTTTCTCCTAAGGCTGCCCTAACTTAATAATTTCCCATCTGTTTAGAGATTCCACGGGCACCACCAAACTAGACATCCAGACGGTGAAGTTTAGCGACCACAACTGCCCCGTGTGGCGCGTCTGCTGGAACATGCTGGCAACCATGCTGATCTCCACCGGTGATGACGGTTGTGTGCGGCTCTGGCGGATGAACTACAACAAGCAGTGGAGGTGTGCCGCTGTCCTGAAGGCCGAGGGCGGTGGACCCACTTACGAGCCGGCCCCACAAACCCCTACTCTGGCCGCCACCGCCTCGGCCACAGCGAAGTACTACAAGAAGGGTACCATTGGAAACCAGGTGCCGTGGCATTGATAGATGATGCATGTTGTAGTTTGCTTAAATTCACACTTAAATAAAATATCTCAAAACTGATTTCCCTTGGTGGTGATTTGTTTACGGTGTGTGCGATGACCCCACTTACGCCTCACGTGTGGAGCCGCCATTCTGATGCAGCATCCGTTGCAGCAACGGTTAAACAGCGTCCTGGCTAACATTTCTGCCGATCACATTTTTTTGATCTCTCACTCACGGATTACATCACAGAAACGTGTGGATCGCGTGCAGCAGCCGCATAGCTGTGACATAAGCGTGTCGCGGCAAACTAAAACAGTTCGATTATTGATTTTATGAAAAGTTTACAAAAACAAAAACTCAAGTCAAAATCAAATTACTTTCACTCGCAAAATAATAATAAACGAAATTCGCGCGGCGCAAGAGGCAGATCTGACACAAGGGTGTATTCAAGTAAGGTGAGGTCAATCTCTTTCATAAATATTCCTGAAATAAATAAAAATTTTGTCAAAGGAGCAGTGTGACCGTAAAACCGGCCGAAAATAGGTGGTTAAACGAAAGCTTAGGACTTTCAAAATGGAGCCAAAATTTCCGTTTTTGCTGGAAACCCGCACCTTTTGACAAACCGTAAACAAATCTGCGACAACCAGTGAGAACACTCCCGACTACGCCGCTCCTTGTATTATTATGCCTTGGAACTGATGTGCTATTTTTAAAAGCGGTGGGAAAGAAAGACAGGGATAGGTAGAATGCACCAGGGGGCAAAAAAAACACATTTTTCAAGTTCATTTATTTAATTCAAATTGAGTTGATTTATTGATGCAATGTTTTTGGTTCGATTAATCAACCTCACACATGTGAAGTGATCTACATAAATACATAATCGCCGATTCCCCAACTCAAATCAATGAACCATTACGCCGCACATGATATCCTTTTCAACTGCACATGTGCATAAATTAAATTAAATAATCCAAACAAGTGGCCAGCTTTTATGGACATTTCCGTCACCTTTAACACGAAAATCCATTCAGAAATATGGCAAAACTATTCCACTTAATTGACTCGCACCGCAATAAAAACGAAATCATTTGACTATTTATGACATCCATTCACACAATGAAAACAACACCATGCACTCCTCGAATCCACCCCGCGCCAGGTCCGGTTCTGCTGGTTATATCAGCTCCTGTCCTATGTGTGTTTGTAGCCCGAACGTAATCCAAGGAATGAAAGCCACTTCGTAGCGTTCTTTCGGTTTTGTAGCCACTGCCGAGGACAGTGAAACCACCCCATCGAAGTCCACATGGTATGTATCCCCCCCGCCTGTCCTGTATCCGAATGATTGTCTCTAATTGGAAGTTGTGACGTGTGTATTATGCTGATGGTGTTGACGCCGATCTTCGGGACCGGCCCGGCCCACCCTCGAGTGCTATTCCAATGCGGGACTTTCTCTCCGCCTGGGGTGGTGGATGATTGTTACTAGTAGAGCCACCGACCAGCGTGGGAAGTCAAAGCTCAAAGGTCTCTCACTCGGCCGCGCAACCCTGCTGTCGCGCAAGTATTGACAACATTTATTTTTTTTGTATGTGTTTAGCTGGCAAAAAATAAATTAATGCGCAAAAGATTGTTTCTTCGTGAGCGGTTATAAAAACGAGCGGGTACAGAAAACCACACAAGAATCACCAGCGGTAATTCCTATTGAGCTCCGCCGTGAGAAGGAAAAAAGGACAATTAGGAAGAAAAGGAAAACGAGATCATGAAATGAGAGAGCACCTACGCAACCTCTCACTCCCTTGTCGGTCAAACTCTCACCAACAGGTGTCCTTTCGATCTCTCTCTGCATCAGAGAGGGAGAAAAAGATGAGCAAAGGAGCCTTTGCTTTCATTCCACTTTCGCTGTAGGAGAGAGAAGTTGCGCAAAAACGAATGAGTCGAAAGCATGGAAGCATTGGGATCAATTATTATGCGTCATAGAGGATTGCCGGGGAAGCATTTTTTGTACGGTATCGTACATATATACATATCGATATTATCGATAGTGTCATTATTGGTGTGTTCAAATTTGTTCGGTGAAAAAAGACAGACAGAAAGAATTGGTGAATTATGGATGAAAAGGTGAGTTTTATTTATTCTTTCTCTTTCCTTCTATATATGTATGTAGTTTTGCCGGCTTAAAATTCTCTCAGCTCAAGCGCATGTTAAAATCTAGCCATGCACACACCAGTGCACTGCAGATGCTATGTCCGCCATTTTCTGAGGGCAATTCACACCGCAAACAAAAATCAAAACTTTGGCTTGCACTTGTAATGAAAGAAACAAAATAGAGGGAAAGAGAGGATCTACTCGCTCGAGTTTGTTTTAAATGTTAATTCTTGCTCTTTTTTTTAGATCAGATAAAGAACACTGCCACGGAAGACGGGAGCAGCAGCTAGAGTAGCAATCTACTGTGTCCCGCTGAAGATGACCAACTCTGGCATGAAGACTCCGATTCGAGTAGCTCTATTGATGGCACACATCAAATTGATTTAGATCTACAGGACACAGAGGTGGAATCCGAGATAGTGGACTCCATTCCAGAATGCAACATAGATGCTAAAACTCTGCGCCTGAAGTCCCTTAAAAACCTTTGCAGGAGCTTGGACTACAAGACCCGCAATGATTTGGAACAACTCGTCCTCCAGATGAGCGTTGAGGGTATGATGGCGAATAGGGAGCTGTGCGTGGCGTGGAAGCTCATCAGTATGACCAAACAGATCATTCAGTAAGCCCAAGACCTGGTCGTACTCCACCTCTTTCCGTTTTTTCCATAACAGTTACGTTGCTTTATGGGGACATTTCTTCATTTAAAGACGTAAGTCCCACCGTCTGTTTTATACCTTGGCACTTATTTTGATTCGCTTACATGAAAAATAAGACTGGGCCGATAAAATTGTTTATAAAATGCTTATAAATTCTTAAAGTTCTTCCCACATTAAGTCGTCTACAATTTACTTGGGCGGTCCAAGGCTTTTAAAATTTTAAAACAGTCAAACAACAAAAAATCGGTCGAAACGTTCGGAAACTATGTTATCCGATACTCAGTTTGATAATATTCATATATGTATATCACTTTTACTGTTTGTACCTGCACCTGAAATACATTTCTTTCTTTCACAGCAGTACAATATTTGGTTTTTCTAGCTCTCATAGTCTCTGAGATCTAAGGGCTCATCAAGACAGATAGACATGACTACTTTATGGGGTCGAAAACGATTCCTTTTTGCTATTACACACATTAACACAAATCTAATATATCCCAATACTCTTTAAGTGCGGTATAAAAAACAGTGGGTGCATGGCTGCTTAGGGGTTAGATCGGAATATTCCCACGCAACTGAGAGGTTGCTCGGTTACAAATGTAATTTGGTCTCAAGTGTTTTTCCAGTATGGACAAAGGAATTAAGGATATATTTCGCATTCCTTTAGTTTGAAATTGGATTAGATATTGCGCATTAGCATTCGGAATTTCACCTCAACATATTTCTCAACTTTTCGAGTGATGTATCCATATTGAATAAAACTTCAACATAAGTTTATATATACAATAATTAGAAACTATAGGTCTAAAGGTCTATACTTTTCAATTTTAACTCACAAATTAACGAAAAAGAATAAATTAAAAAAATATATAATTTGTAAAACACACATGTACAGTGGTGACAAAATCTTGGGCCCATTTGGTTTCCAGTTATGCTTGTTGTTGTGAAAATTCTTGTTTCTTCTGTAGCTCCCGGGGTTTCGGCGAGGGTTTGGTTCGACCCTTTGCACCTTGTGGCCCCTGTTTCCTAATTACGAGCGGCGAACGTGCAGCCGGCTTAACTAACTCATTTGGACTGGGTTTTCTCGGTCTCTGTTTTTAGTTAGCGCTCGCCACACAGGTACATGGGGTATACGGGTATCCCTGCGCTTATGCAAATTTCATAAACCATAAACATCATTTCCATATGGACACGCTGCACTGCCGTTGACCCCCATCGCTGTTTCTGCTGACCAACGGTCAGTGGTCGAGCGGGCGAACACGGTGGCAGCTTATTAGTCGCGATTACGGCATGAGGGGATTACTTCCAGGCCAATTGGTACGCAACAATACGATGAGGGGTTTGGATTACTAACAATTTGTGTATCGTAGTACTTTTACGGCGGAGTGGGAGGCCGTGGATATTCGATACTATTCTTTTTTGGCATTCGGCGGAAGGTAGCCAAAGCGCAGACGTGCCTGCTCGTACAGCATGAAGGTGATGATCGTGTTTGGACTAACCCGCATCAGGGCCGGAATAAAGCCCTTGTAGAATGCCATCGGCGACTCCTTGAAGATGCTTATGACCACCGCGACAAGACCGGAGTACTCGCCCGGCTTGGCATTCATGTATCTGGTCTTGATCACGTCGATGGGCTGCGTCATGATGGTGCCAATGCATCCGGCTATCGTCGAGGTGAGGAAGTGCAGGGGCAGGCCCTCCTTTGTGCCGAAGGTGCCCTGAACGACCTGTTTCACCTGATCGTATGTCGCGTTAGTGCCGATTGTCAGGACCACGGCTCTGGTCACAGCGGGCACGGCTCCCCGAAAAAGACTCTTGACGCCCTCCTCCTTCTGTATGCGGTACAGGCCATCGAAGACGTGCTTGTAGCTGAGGAAGTGATTCGTTTACATATCGCTGATCACTCCGGATGATCACCGGTACTCACTTTCGCCGCTTCTCCGGCGGCAGCTTAATGTCGTTCTGCAGCCGCACCGTGACCACATCGCCCGGCACTCCCACAATGCCTCCGAAGACGCCGGCAAAGGTCGCCAGTTGCACCTTGGCACTGACGTTGCTGGCGTCCACGAAATTCTTGCCGTACTCGTAGAGGGCGAAGCGGGCCGTCGTATAGGTTAGCTGCCGAAACCAGGAGGCAGAGATGCCACTGTAGAAGCCCGTGACACCGCCCTTCTGATAGATATTCGATATGACCTGGCCGACCGAAACCTTCTCGGCCTGCGTCTGCGTCTGCAGCTGCACCTTGACCAGATCCAGCGGATGTGTGGTGGTCACCGCAATGGCCGAGCAGACTCCTCCCGACCACCATCGCGGCAGACGCTTGTTGTCGTTCTCTGACATGTATCGGTGGACTCGTTAATATTTGTTGTTTATGTGGAATCCGGGCTACTTCGACATAGTAAAAAATATAAAACTCTGTTTGGATGGAGAGATACTCCAGGCCGCCTTTCTTTGTCAGCTAGAAAAGGGAATTTTGTATACACTGCACTGGTATACTTCAAGGATATATATCTCGTATATATCTTTAGATTCCTCCCATTCTTTATGCTAAATGCCATTCCGTTTTTGCATATTTCTTATAAAACAAATGCCTTTATTTACAATAGTTTCACAAAAGGTTCGTAGATCGTAATTCTAGATGATAGATGGTTTCTTAGATTACTAGTTAATGTGCCTATTCCTGTATTTAATCTCAACGAGATTTTCTCGTTAGGATCTCCTGGAGGAGGCCAAACTTAAGACTATCACACTGGGCCTGACTAGACTCTGTTTTCTGGGCTTTTCACTTCCGGATACTGTTCCACCTCTTCAATAGGCCATCTCGGCTCCCCAGGGTCGATAGGGTTTGGCCCCGTTGGGCGTGGCATATTGCAGGACGCTGGCGTTGTTGTAATCCTGTCCTCCGCTCACTGGATACTGTGGAGCTGTGCTATAGCTGAGGGTTTCCCCGCCGGCTGGAGGTCGGTGGCTGTTGGTCAGATCTATGTAGGTGGGAATCTGTTGCTCCGGATGAACAACAGTGTGATCGTGTGTGTAGTGTTGTTGTTGTTGTTGTTGCTGCTGCTGTTGATGTTGCTGCTGCTGTTGTTGTTGCTGCTGTGGCTGCTGGGCCGGCTGAGGCGTGGTCTGGGTTCGGACATGGGTGGGAGGTTGCTGCTGATGTTGCACCTGTTGTTGTTGTTGTTGTTGTTGTTGTTGTTGCTGCTGTTGCTGGCTGCTGGTATCGGAGTGGAGCTCATGAGGTGGCAGAGCCTCACTGACAACACCTGATCCACTCGTCCTGGAGACGCTGGTCCGTCCACCATGCTGCTGCTGCTGCTGCTGTTGCGGTTGCTGCTGCGAGGGCGATGCACTCAACGTTGGATAGCTGTGCAGAGATGAGCTGGAGACATAGGCTGCTCCGGGATTTCCTGCGGAGGCATAGGTCTGGTAGGGAGGGGCTGCACAGCTGCTCGTGGCCTGGTAGCCTGCGGCACTTGGAGCGGAAGCCGACCAGCCACTGGGACTGGCACAGCTCTGGGCCGAGAGCTCCCGCTGCTGCACAAAGTACTGCAGGTGGGACATGAGGCGCAGGCGCAGCGGATCCTGGATGTCCATGCCCTCGATGGTCACCAGGTAGCGGGCCACCTCGGCGGCGCACTCTCGGAACCCAATGATGTGGTAGTCCATGGCCACGCGCTGCGGGTCGTAGCTGAGCGAGTCCAATGCTGCAACAAGAGAAGAAGGAGGAGGAGGCGAAAGTCAATAAGCTGTCTAATCCATCCACATCGACACAGACCAGAGCAAACAATTAAAATAGTTGTTCCCACGCGACTGCCTAAACAACCACCCCCATGTCCTTGTTCGGGATGTGAAGAGTCGGACAGGGGCAGGGCTAGGGGCAGGGGGTGGCACTGCTAATGCTAATGGTTGCTTCCAGGGGTGGAAGCAATTTTCGCCCGCTTCTGGGTGTAAAAAGCGAGTGGTTCAAAGGCAGTGGGAGGCGGGCAATGAGCAGCGTGGGAAGCCCCGAGATTCGAGATTCACTTGGGCGGTGCGCTGTTATTGTCTCTGTGTTTGCGGTAATCATAATTTTCCCATAATGCCAGCCTTCCCCTTACCCTTGTCCTCCCTCCTGTTTTGGGACAACAGGTTAGGACTGTTTACTCAGATTTCAAATAATTAGTGGAACACTTATCCCAGTTTAGTGTTTCAATTGTTAGCCTATCGTATCCTGTGGGATATTGGAGTCGTGCTTTTCATGATTTATCCAAATAATATTGAACTTTAAGACAATGTTTAAGACTAATAATAGGACAAATAGTTGTCCGAAACTGTTAAGATTTTTTCAATACCAATTAATAGTCTATTCCTTTCTCAACTTCATGTTGGATCATATTTGTAGTATTTCAATGATTTATCCGATCGCAGAAAACCTTATTGATTATCCTTATCCATAATGTTTAATGAAAATTGATTATAATGATCTCAAACTGTTATTCTGATCCACGAGAGAAATTCCCTATCGCTGCACTTCCCATAACCTTTAACATATCTCTTATTCTGTTTTTCCACAACCAAGATATTGAAACTTACTTTTCGACTGCAAATTCTTCAGATGCTCCACTGTGAGCTGGAGGATTTCGGCCTTCTCGAGCTTGGCGGATCCCTGCTTCTCGTAGGCCGAGGGCACCAGACGCTTCAGTTCGGTGAGCGAGGAGTTGATGCGATCGCGCCGCTTCTTCTCGATGACCCCGCGACGCTTCTTGCGGCTCATCAGCTGGCAGCTTCCCGGCTGACTGGGAGAGATTCTGTGAGCGGATCAGAAGAAAACAAAATGTTAATAAGAAGATCCCACGGATATTTTGGCAGATTACGCATACGCACTGTTCTTTGGAGGACTCCTCCGAGTAGAGGTCGTCGCAGTCGCTCTCGGAGAGCGACCGCTTCAGACTGTTGTGTCCTTGACTGTGATGACTCTGCGGCGGCTGCACCCAGTGGCTCTGGGGGGTGCTGGCGGTCGCTGGCAAGGCCACAGCCGGTCCTGCCCCATAGCCCCAATGGTGGAGTGGGGCATTCACGTGCATGTTGTGGTCCATCTTTGTCCTTTGCTGATCCTGCGCACTTGACACTTGACTGGGAACACTGGGCGATTGTCTTATCACTTGGGATTCTTTCTCCTGCGGCACTGGCTGGATCTGGACTTGGAACCGAAGAGCGGAGCTGGCTTGAACACGTGACTTATCGTGTGCGCGAACGGCGTTCGACTGATTTTGCAGCACACGACTAGCGGACGACCTGACCGCCGTTGCCGTTGCCGTCGTCGCTGCCGCCGCTCAACCCCTTTCTAACGCCGCCGGCAAACGCCCAATAAGATGCAGCAGCAACCACCCCTTGGCAACGCGTGCCGCCGCTCTCCAGGACTCAGGCGCTGGCTGGGGGTAGGTAATAGTCCACGATGATCGCTATAAGGCCGAAAAACCAACAAATGAACAAGGGCGGACAGTGAGCGAGAGAGAGAGTAAAGAGAGAGACGGCCTTGGAGTGAGCAGTACGGACTTGGTGTGCGAGAGGAATAGATGGATTGATGCCGGGCAAAAGAGCAATCACTGTGTGGACGGGCGCGATTGCATCCTCCTGTCATCGATGTCGATGGCATCAGCATCGGTATCAGCACCAGCATCACGACATCGCCTTGAATCATCGCCGTGGGCGTCAGTCTGTCTGCCTGTCCGCCGGCTGACTTATGCTGCCACTTGCTCCTGCCGCTGCTGGCCCGTGGAATGGCTGGAACTGGAGCACGCGACCCGAACAGCGGCCGGTCGTGTGGCGTGGCCCTGGCGCCGTGCCCCAACAAGTGCAACGGCCGCCGTTGACCTTTATCTGCATACGAGCACACGTCCCGTCCCGTGTTTGGGCCACATTTCTAGGTCAGTGCTGCCTCAAGGTTACGGGAGCCGCAGCCACCGCCGCATCCCGGGGGCCGAGATAAGACGAATGCGTGGACAGGTGCCCGAAGGCGGTGTGTTGACCTAGTGCCTGAGATGAAATCGATACATTTCCTTTGTGCTGAGGTCATTTTAATTACAAGGCAATCAAGCAGTTGAAGTACATTGACATTGAGCCTTTTATTATCTATTTTTGGGTAAAATATAGAGCGGAAAATGGTAGAAACAAGAAAAGGAGAGTGGAAAATCATTAATGAATGTACTTTTCAATTAATAACTTACCCAATAACTAAGGGCTACCCTTCTGTTGGCTCTCTTTAGTATTTTAAAGTAAATGATAGCTTGTTGCTTATATTCACATGTCCTTTAAGTGTATTTTCTTTGCTTCCTGGGTAGTGCTTTTAAAAAACCTAATCAAATATGGTAGTAAGAGCTACAGCTAGAGAAATATGCCAGAGTAATAAGAAACGAGAAACTTAGCCACTACCTACTGCACCTACCACGAAAGGACTGTAGATTGCTAGTGGGAATACTTACAGGTCACTGTCTGGCTGCTGCACATGCAGCTAAGCTAGGCATCACCCACAGAGACAGTTGTAGGAAATGTGATGAACCTGTGGCTATCGAAACCCTGGAACATCTCATCTGCTACAGTGCGGCTCTCTCAAGGGCAAGAAGGAGATACCTGGGCGCCCCAGTGCTGGCATCACTGGAAAATGCCTCCAAAAGGACGCCACAGGAACTGCTGGCATATGCTAAAAGCACCTCGATTCCCGGGGACTTTAAAACCACCTAAACACTCCCGCGACGGTTCATACACCCCCCCCTATCCGGATAACTTAGGGCCAGATTGGCCTATGCGTGGCCCCGCTGAGGGCCGTCCGGGTTAACCTAACCTAACCTAAGAAACGAACCCATATTTTAATTAAATATGCGGTTTTAAGTAAAAAACATCGTGAAATTAAAAGAATTTACTTTAATACTCTTTATCTTTAAGCTAAATACGAGTATAAAGAAGTTAAAATAGAGAAAATATCATAAATTTATAAGAAATATATTTAATTTAAATATAGAAATATTTAATTTAAATATGAATATAATATGAAATACTTATATCAAAATATTTTCATATTAATGGTAAAACGTAAGTGAGAAACACTTTCTTTTTACAATTTCCACTCTCGGTGAAAATGTATGGGTATAAATTTATAAATCTCAGTGCCACTATTCAATACTCAGGGCTTTTTTCTATGTCTGTAGATATCCAGATTTGCGGATATCAACTGCACCAGCTGCGGGAATACTGATGGTCTCCAGCTTTTTGCATTCCTTGGAAACAAATATTTGTGAATGCGCACTGATATCTCTCAATGTAATTGCGATTAGAAACTCTTGAAAAGAAATTAAAAAGTCTGCCCACCCCATCAGTTTCTATTGCATTCCATTCCCTCGCCCACACAATTCTCATCATCAAACAATTCGCGACAAAAACTGACCCATTCAGATCAGATCCCCCAAAACTGTATTCATTTCCGTGGCGTATGCTTGATATTAATGCGCTCTCATATCAATTTCGAAATGAATTGAAAATGGAAAATAATAAAAAACGTGCTTTTAATTTGATTCGGCATGCTGTCGCTCAGGTTTCAAAATGTAGCAAAAAGTAAAGTGAAAATGTTTAATGGCCAATGCCAGGCCCAGCGTGGGACAATCTCTAAGCGGCGGCAACTATGGAACTGAGAACGGAACCCACCCCTAATCAAGTGGATGGATAGTGCACGACGAGTTGAACTTGCACCACACCACCGACGGACTCGCAATCGAGACCCAAATCGCAGCCGTGGCTCGTGGCTCGTGGCTCGTGGGAAAGCCAAAGGTCCGGGGATTCTCACGCATGTTCAGCACGTGCAGGTCGTGCGCCGTCCGCTTTGTAGAGAGAAAGAGAGAGAGAGAGGAACGGGGAGTTCTTCGGGGTGCTCGTGCTCCCCGGTTCGAGAGACAGGAGAGACAAATTGCTTGAAGTGCATTCAAGGTATGGAGCCAAAGGAGCGTCGCAAACCCTTTATTTTAATGGATTTCTAGCAACAACTTTCTATAATGAAAATTGCGGTCTACCATATAGTACAATACTCGTACACGTTCACATGTATCTACATAAGTAGCGGGGTAAGTATTTCTCACATATCTGGTTACATCTATATTAATTCGGGCGGTGTTCAAAGTCAAAGGCCACCGAATTCCGAATTTAGAAGCTCTTAAGGCAAAGATTACTGTGTGTTCCTGTCGGTTGTGGGGTCTTCTGCTGCTCGTCGACGAAGGGCCCCAGGCTATGCGGCTCTGCCTCATCGATCCACGTCTCCAGGGTGCAGGAGCTCGACTGGTGGCTCGACCTCTGCGACTGCGACTGGGATCGGTTGTGGGAGTGACCGGTCGCCGCCCTACGCCACCGACTGTCAAAGTCATCCCAGTGGGTGGACAGCTGCCAACGATCGAGGCTCTCGTCGTCCATTGAGTTGCCATTGATGTCCCACTTGACGATGGGGTAGTCGTCGTGCGGCGGCTCCATGATCATCACGTTGTGGTAGTTGCCCTCGATCTTCGACCCCAGGCTGATGCTGCACGGATGGAATCTGGCTGCAGTCTGCATCTGTTGCAGCTGCTGCGTCTTCTTTTTTGGCTGCGACTGCTGCTTCTGTGACTCCTCCGCCTGGCGCAGATCCAGGCTGGAGTTGGACGGGGTGTGGCGCAGATAGCGCACGTTGGCCTTGTAGGGCACGCGCTCAAACTCGATGCCGGAGCCTGGGGCGGGGGTGGACTCGAGCACCTCGTAGTTGCTCGAGCTAAGCAAGTACCTACTCCTCAGGTCGAGCTTAGCCTCCGGATAGTGCAGGTGTGGCTGCTTCTCCATCTCCTCCTCTGCCTCGCTGGCATACTCAAAGTGTTGGACGGTTTGTGGTTGTGGTTGAGGTTGGCGTTGGTCAGGCTTGGGACTGCACTCATTCAGCTGCAGCTCCTCGTAGATGGCCTCTGCCGTGTGGCAATTGCTGTTCACATCCTTTTGCTGATACGCCTCCCCCTCGGCCGGCTCAATCTCCTGATCCTCGTCGCCATCCTCTTCGTCCAGACGCTGGACAAAGAGTTGCCTTGAAGTTGATATCCTGCGCAGCAACTGTAATGCAAGTCGTTAAAAATAAATCGTTCAAATGAGCAGGCAACGCGGCGTATGAATAATAAACTACACGGAAGGCGGAGGTTCCTTGTTTCCTGTTCCGCGTGTTCGTGAAATGGTTATTTTTGTGCCTTCAGGGGCATCGATTTTTTATCGATTGCCCACTCCCTCGGCCACCACCTCCCCACCTCCCTACCTCCCACTCACCTTCAGACAGGACTTTTTGGTGCGCCTCAGCAAATGGGACATTCTGCGGCTCTTTCCCTCGGTGTTCCTTTGTTTGCTGCCCAAAAATAAGGCAGAAGTGTGCAATTATTGCTGCTATTGTTGTTGCCTAAACGTTGCGGCTTTGACAGGAGCATGCCTCATCGCGACAGCTGCTGCAGCACCTTGGCCTAACCAAACAAAACTGAAACTGAAATGGGAATTGAACACTCGCTGGCGGCGTCGGCGGCTTGCAGGTGGAGCAGGCAAGGACACCCTGCCTCGGTCGTGTGGCACATGACTCATGGCAGCCACTGCAAATTCCAGCTGAGAGACGACCCCCACGCGACGCCACAGTCGGCACAGGCGCAGTATAATCCGCAGAACATGACCAGGCCACAGCGAGCGCACAGATTGCGGAATCTCGAAGGGGAGGAGGGGCTCGCCTAATGCGGTAATAGCGGTACTTAAACCGAACCTAGACCCGACAGCCCACAATCATCCTCCTCGTCAGAGTGCCCTCGAATGGCCGGTCAAGTGGTTGGGCCCCCACCCTAACCCAGTAATATGCTGGGCCGAAGGTAGGTCCTGCACTCCGATTATTGGCTTCGTGCGGTATTGTGGGCGCCATGAGTCTCGAGGGAAAGTTTCTTATGAAACTATTTCCGGAGAGGGTTTCCTTTTTCCAATTTCCTTTCAATGAGTCAGGAAGGCTTTCGAACTGTATAGTATACGATATGTAGACCTATATAACTCTTTATTCGTATATGCTTGTGATACTTTTCAGGACTTAGATGCAGAAATACGTACCCGGAACATTGAATATTGCTTATATTGCTTTTTGTCTGCCTTATCAGCTTTTAAGTGCGCTGGAACCAAATCAAAGCTGTCTGAACCCTCGACCCGAGCCTAAATGATAATGAAATAAAGAACAGACGACTGGTTAATGCCGCACATGAATAAAGAATAGAGAAGCAACTGAAACAAGGATCACCTAAGACTTCAGCAAGGAGAAATTTGAATAGAGGAGTGCTAGAGACTGGACCCGGAATCGAAATCGAAATGGATTTAAACTCTGAATCAATTGCTATGGGAACCCAAGGGACTGACGCCGGCCCTGTGTGTCCTAATTAATGACATTTGCATGTAAATTTCAAGCAAATTAAGCAAATGATTTAAATGCATTTCCGTGTAAATATCCAAACCAGTTTTTCCATTCGAGTTTACTTTTTATTTGGATTTCGAGCCCATTGCCGTTTGAGAATGGAAACACTTTCGGATAGCACTTTACGTCGATTTGTCACATCACTCAAAGTGACGGCTGTGCAGCAAGGAGCAGCACACAGGACACAGGACATTGCTGTGGTTTCGGGACTATTTTGAAATCGAATTGAAAACTGAAATAAAATCCAGTGTGAATGATGACACTCGCAGCAAATTGCAATCAAATCGCGATGATTCGGCACTCGCATCGACAGTCACAATACCATCTTTCTGGCTCTTGAGCGTGACAAGATCCCTTTTTGGTCATCGCTCAATATTTTTGACTCTGACTTTTGACAGTTGTCATTCTGGGCTCTCTTTTGGGCCATTCTTTTTAAAGAGATACTCTTTGGCTGCGGCCCGAAAGGGTGCCGTGCAGTGTCCGATCAGAGGCGGAAGATATTGATGAAGCTGCCCAATTAACAGTTGATTGATAGACCCATCTACGCCAAAGCCGATTGGAAAGTGCAGTGTAGGGCCGTGCAGAGTGCAGAATGAAGAGCGCCGCAATTGCCAATATCGATTACAAAAGTTAGATTTTAATTTTTAATTGCCGTTCGATGTGCCCTCGAGGGGGTTGCGCTCGATTTGTCAGGAGAACAGACCGCAATCCTCCCCTGCCTTTCACCTCCTCCTTCCAGGACACGCACTCTACTATTTTTATGGTCATTGCCGTGGAATTTGTTAGGGGTGTGTGGAGGGGTTTGACACGGCTCGATTGTGGCATGCCCTGGAGTGGACCGGAGAGTGTCCTCGGGCAAGTGTCAATTATGCACGTCTTGATGATGGCCTCGCCGCAATCGCTGTTGAAAATTTACATTTTATTAGTTTTACATGCTCGGCCAGCGGTTCGAGGGCATTAAAATTATTTACGATGCCAAATATTGTTGGTTGTAAATTTCCCATTCTGCCAAATGTAAGGCACGAGGCAGGATGCAGGAAGGGATGTGAGTTGCGTGGAATGGAATTGTAACGGACGGCGCTATCGCTTGACCTTTGCTGCTAATTAGAGCCTCATTGTTCCGTTCCCCGGAGCCAACGACCGCATTCACTTTCCAGCTTAAATGGCTCGCAAGTCTGTTCGGATTCGGACCCTAGTCGTGCTCCAATGACTGATACTATTCTTATCAGCTATAAGTCGGACAAGCCAAGGCACTCGAGGCCCTCAATCGTTCTCGATCAGTCGCATTCTGAGTAGGGAGCCGTGCAAAGATGGCGAGCGGAATCCAGGAAATCACATACTACGAGCACGAGCTCAACATTCGCCGGGTTATCGAGGAGCAGGCCAGTCTGCAGAACGTGGACGCGGCCCTCAACATCTGCGATCTGTCCAGTGTGGAGCGGAAATACAATCTCTGGGTGAAGTATCTTCCCCGAATCACGCCCTACTATGCCGTCAAATGCAATGACGATCCTATGATTGTCAAGGTGCTGGCGGAACTCGGCGCCGGCTTTGACTGTGCCTCCAAGAACGAGGTCAAATTGGTGAGAAAAATCCACAAAGATCATTGATGTCCGAGGCGGATTCCAAGTGCCATTTTGTTGCAGGTTCTGGGATTGGATGTAGCGCCTGAGCGGATTATATTCGCCAATCCCTGCCGTCCCGTCAGCCACCTGGAGTACGCCCAGCAGCATCGGGTGGCCAATGGCACGGTGGACAACGAGTTCGAGATCTACAAGCTGCACAAGCATTATCCCCAGTCCAAGTACATACATCAGTTTTCGATCCGATCTCTCCGACTAAACTCTTATCGTTTGATCTCTCTCGCAGCTTGATTGTGCGCTTCAAGAGCGAGGCAAAGGAGGCCCAGTGTCCGCTTGGCGACAAGTTCGGCTGCGATGCGGACGCGGACGCCACGGCGCTGATGCTGCTGGCCAAGGCGCTCGACCTGAAGGTGACCGGCACCAGTTTCCACGTGGGATCCGGCTGCAGCGAGCTGGAGGCCTACGATCGGGCCATCAAGAAGGCCAAGAACATTTTCAAGTTCGGAGAGCTGCTGGGCTATGACATGAATTTTCTGGACATAGGTGGCGGCTTTCCCGGCAGCGATGATGGCAAATTCCAAAAGGTTTACCCGACCCCGAATCACCGAAGCTACGGATACTAATACAAGTACTTTGCAGATAGCGGAGATTGTCAACACCTCAGTGCAGCGCCACTTCCCAGACGATCGCGTCCAGATCATTGCCGAACCCGGGCGCTTCTTCGTGGCGGCCGCCTACACGCTGGTCTGCAAGATCCATGCCAAACGTGAGGTGCGCAATGAGGCCGGAAAGCTGGACACTATTATGTACTACCTGAATGACGGAGTCTACGGCTCCTTCAACTGCATTCTCTACGACCATCAGGTGGTGACGCCTGAGCATTATTTGGTAAGTATCACCTGGGAATCCAGGGAATTCGCTGCTCAACCCAAGTATCATATCTTTCTAGGATGAATCCGCGGCCTTCCCCGAATTCAAATCCTTGATTTGGGGTCCCAGCTGTGATGCCTTGGACAAGGTGGGGTTCCGTTTCCCCCTCTTCTGATTGAAGCTACAGCCTTCAATATATCTCTTCTTTTCAGATCTCGGAGGACCTGCGGCTACCCAACCTGAACCGAGGCGATCTGATTGGCTTCCCCAACATGGGTGCTTATACGGTGCCTATTGCCAGTCCGTTTAATGGCTTCGAGGTGCCAAGGACCCTGTACTTCCGGGCTATGTGACTAAAATCGGACAGTATGACAGAAATAAAGGAAACGTTTGCTTTCATTTGTAACCATCATGGATTCTTTATTATTTCGGCTGAGAAGACATAGCTCCTCCTATGGAAAGCATCTTTCGTTACCCACTCTCTGCTGGGGTTCTACAATATTTTGAAGAGAACAGCTGTTGCCAAAAATACTGACCCGATTTGGTGGTATAGCGCATTCTCTTGAAAATATTTCTGATCCCTTTCGACAGAGTTCTCGTTCTGTCTGGATAGCCTGTCGGGTTGGCGAGCCGCTGGAGCACCACTTCCCCGCCGTCCACCAGAGAGTGGCTACTGACCGAAGCCTCGGACTGGCCGATGCGGAGTGGGTATGGTACGGTTCCAACTGCTGGCTAACCCGGCGGAAACCAGAAAATATCAGTGTGAGTGTCAGTGTCAATGTTAATGGTATAATGTTAATTTCTAATGGAGATTACAACTTAGTTCGAATAGACAGAATTCATATGCATGTCTGTATGTGTATCTAAAAGTAGGTATATGTATAAAAACATTTCAAAAATTCCACTTTGCATACACTTTGTTAATGTTCTTTGTGTGTTCGGTTCCATTGCGTTCGCGTAAATATCAACTTTTCATATGTTTTAAAATTGTAAGTAAATTCTATAAAATGCCTATATTTTAGGTGCGTGTCGAGTCATCCAGTGCGTGCACTTGGAGCTCTTGATATGTCACGATAATAACAATACAACGATATGCATATAGGGATCATATGGGGGGCACACAGGATGGGGGACGTAGGGATTTGGAAGTTGGAAGTGGGTTGAGTGTCGACTGCAGTTATAATTTGCAGTACTTGCCCCATGTTTCTCACAAATAAAGAGTACAAACTACTTATTCCATAATCAGTTCTTGGTGATTGATGCAAATGATTTGTTTTTATCTATTCCTTTCGCCTGATCGCCTTGCCTTTTTGCATATTTTCCTGACCGGCGCCCAAAGTGGAACCGCATTGGGTTGCGATGCATATAATTATATATATCTTTATATATATATAGATTTGACAATTTCGACTAGGTTAGATTGCTTGTAAGCTGCTTTGGTGGCTGGGGCGGGTGCAGGAAGGGAACAGGTCAGGAAACGAAGAAAACTTGCTTATAATGATTGTATCTCACAACACCGACGACAAAACGACGATAAACTACGCATAATAAATACATATATAGGTGCCAGTGCACCTGTGCACATATGGGAATATCATAGATACGAGTAAGTATGTACACAATACGCTTCTGTCGCTGCTTAAACGTAACAATTCTTCTGCTTCTGATTCTGCGTCACAAAATCTGATATGTTTGAGTTCAAGTCTTAGGTCTAAGCTTTATCCGTATCGATATGTAAGGGATGCTATCATCTAACGCCCTTCTCTCGGGCTTTTCCAGGAGAGCGAGCTGGGAGCGCGTCGCTGTCGAGCTACTGTGCATGTGTCTCGTGTTGTAGATGCTGATGATGTTGCAACTGTGGACTGGATTGTGGTGTCTGTCTGTTGGTGCATCAATTCAACAGAGTGGAGGTGGGGGGAACAGACACAGAAATGGACAAGTCGCTCTGGATTGGCTGATCTGGTGATGTTTGCTGCTGGTGTGGTGGGTAGGCTGCAGGCCGAGCGAACAGTATGGTACGGTTCAAAAGCGTGCTTTTTGGGTCTAATAATTGGCAGAGTTGCATAATTCACGGATTCACTATAATCTATAAGAAAATATACAATACAACAACACAGAAATGGTTTGCAGACGTACAAAAGGTCTATGGGTATTTCTTTTTTGTGGGATTTTCTATGGTCTCAGCATCGAATTGGTTCGAATCGATTTGTATTGAATGGGGAGCCCGCAATCGAGGACTCCCCATCAACTTCTATCACTGTGCTTGAATCTGAATCTGGATATGAAACTGACCCACATGGAAAAGTGGTCTCCGGACCTAACTAGACTGGGGACCCGCTTCAGATCGGATCAGATCGGAAGCGATTAAACGCTAATCAGAAACGCCACGCTACACATGGCAATTTGGGCCAGAAGGTTCACTTGCAGTATCCGCATCAGACCGCCGCTCGTGGGTGAGGGACTCACATTGAGGCCGGCGCAGTGCATCTTTTCGGTGGGCATGGCCTGCACAAAGTACTCGCGGTTGTCCAGCGACATGTGGCACAGCGGCTTCTTCTTCTGCGACATTTCGTCATCCTTGTTCTTCAGGTCCTCGAGCAGCTTGGGGAACCAGGTCAATTCGCAGGAGCAGTTCAGCGGATTATCTGCAATCAATTCAGATTAGTTTTCTTTGCTGTGGTTGTGTGCTTCACAGGATCTGGATGCCCATGACTTGCCCGTGATATCGATGATGCGTAGGGTATCAATGACCGGTTCCATGATGTCCTGGGGAATGCGCTGCAGCTTGTTGTTCTGCAGATTCAGGGTCTCCAGCGAGTTTAGGTTCTCAAACAGCACACTTGGCAGCACCTTAATGCTGAAATTGGAATGCAGAACGGATCAAAATAGGATAAGTAGGAGTATTCCGTATGTGATATCACGCGACAGCTTTACTCATTCTTTTGGAGGTTGAGGAACGTGAGCGAGTCGCCAAATCCGGTGAAGGCGTCATCGGCCAGGACATTAATGTTGTTGTTCCGCAAATCCAAATGGCGAAGACGGTGCAGTGGGCGCAGGGCCTCGCTGGGAATGGCATGGATCTGGTTGTCTCCTAGGCGCAGATACTGCAGGTTCTCTGAGGATTAAAAGAGGTGGAGGTTCGGAAAATATCAGAAATTTAAGGCAAGAGATAATGGTGGTGGAAAACCTACCCTCCAAGCCCTTAAACGCATCCTTATCGATAACGCTGATCTTGTTGCCCTCCAATTCCAGAGAATTTAGCTGGGTAAGGTGTATGAAGACATTTGCAGGCACTGTGGTGATCATGTTGTGGGCCAGAATCAAGGAATCGAGGTTTACCAAGCCCTCAAAGTCACCCTCAATGATGGAGCGGATCTTGTTCTCCTGTATTTCCAGCTTCTTCAGCGTGTCCAATATAGACAGGGACTTTTGGGGAACTCTGCTTAAATCATTACCACCCAGATTCAAACGCTTCAATTTTCTGCAAGTCCCAGCGATTTTAGATGAAGAACGAACACACAATCAAGGATAGATAAACTTACCCTTCCAGACCGCGGAACGCCTCGGGGTCTATCTGGGTGATCTTGTTCTCATAGAGCGTAAGAATCTCCAGTGTTCCTAGTCCCTCGAAGGCGTTGTTGTGGATCACGGTGATTTTGTTGTGGTTCAGGTTCAAGATCAACAGGTGGAACAGATGCTGCAGTGCCTGCGAAGGCACGGTTTTCATTTGGTTCAGCGATACGTCCAGCTGTGTGAGTCCAGTGCCTGTAATGGGACATGGTAGGAGAGAATGGAGATGGTACGGTACTGAGCTTCTATAATATACATAGCTTTCTGAACCACTCACCCAATGAACTGAGAGCATTCTCCTCGATGGTCGCCAGGCTGCTGTTGTGTATGGTCAGGTGGCGAATGTCCAGGGCCAGGAAAACGAATCCCTGCAGCTTGGGCAGGTTGTTGTGGCGCAACTTCAGGTAGAAAATGATGGGACTTTTGCCCTTGAGTGTGCCCATCGATTTGGTGATGTGCGCCAAGTCCGTGGTCTCGCAGAGTATGTCCAGGCCGTTCTTCTTCACCGTGCAGATGCAGGGCGAGATGTCGCCCTGCTCCGGACACACCTGCTGTTGCGGTGTGTTCTGGGACCCCGCCTGGCCCACGCCCACCAGCGCCGCCAGCATCAGTAATAACGCTGCGTGGCTGAAGGGGAGCTGTAGTTGCTTCAACTGGACCATGGTGAACATCTACTGGTGGATCCCGATGTCGATGTGGATCTTGGATGTTGAGCTTTCTCTCAGAAAATTACCGTTCCCAAGGTGCGCTGGATGTTGTAAATGTTGTGGAAGTTGTGGATGATGTGCCTGCAGTGGATGCTGATGATGCTATTTACAGTGGTTATTGCTTTATTCCTGTCGAGAAGAATGGATAGTGGAGAGCGGAGAGCAGAGAATGTGTGTGAATGCTCGGTACATTCATTGAAATCCGGCGCGACAACAACAACAACAGCGAAACGCAAATTAAGCGCACAATGCGCGATTTTATTTGGGTTGTGGAATCGTGGATTAAATATAAATTGCCCGCAATTGAGCCTTACGTACAGTGGGATCGCTCCTATTGTTGCCGCCGTGCCTGGTTACGCTCGCTGTGGAAGTGGTGGCTCTCACCTAAATGGTTTGTCCGTCCGGCGACTGACAAGTGCCAAATAAACATGCCTCCAGTGCCGCCAAGATGCAACAAATTCGCTCACACTAAGCCAACAGATTAGCTCTGCCTCTGGCTCTGCTTGCTGCTGCCGCGCATCAACCCGCCTGCTCGCACCGCGCTAAACTTAAGGAGGGGCTTGGGGCGTGTGGGGTAGGGTGGGGTGGCGTGTGCGTAATAGCTGGCTGCGAAGTCGGTCAAATGTGTGTGTATAACGATGTAACGGAAAATCGATACTGCCACAAAGAGGTTGTTGAATGGCACAAACCAACCGTTTTGTTGTCTTCCCTCCTCGCCTTAATTTCGTTTCGAACACACACCCGTACACGAGAACCGCACACACGCACACACACACACACGCACGCCAAATAAGGATAACGGTGGTACGAGGACTGGATTTTGTTTGTAATTGTTGCTTCTGACTAATTCAATTCAACAGTCCGTACATATATTATAGGGGATGCTATAACTGTTCTTCGAAATCGTAGGTCGTATCCTTAAATTCCGTTACACGCACACACAGAGCAGGGAGGAACACTGGCAGTCAGGCCAGCGGGTTATCAGTGATTATTCACTGCTGTTCCTGTTGCATTATCTTTAGAATAGGTCGAGCTGTAAGCAGCAGCAGCAGCAGATTCGGAAAATAAATAGAAGTGAAGTGCGAAAATTGAATGAACCGACGAAGCGACGATCCGCGGACTTATCGTTAAAATATACCGTCTCATTTTCAAAATATACCGTAAATATACTGACGGACTCAAGTTATACTATACATATTCCTCGTTTTTAATATTCCGTCGAATATTACCATCTATATGGAACATTTAGCCATGCCCACTCAATTTTTTACGATTGATGAATCAATTTTCTACCTGATTGACTTGATTTAAATACTTGCTTTTATTTGATTTTTATATAGACCCTGGTTTTGTGTCGAAGTCAAAAAAAAAAAATTGGTGCGCACCAGTTTTGCGACAATAGACGATAAAAATATATCGAAATATACCGTCTCATTTTCAAAATATACCGTAAAGAATTGTTGTGAACCGGTTATTACAGATTCTACCCGATTCAAATAAATACCAAAATATACCGTCTCATTTTCAAAATATACAGTGGTGCGCGCCAAATCTAACTTTTTTGAATGTGAGCGACAAGGATTTAAATGTTGTCAACCGGGCCATTACCGATTCAACAAATACGACGATTCCCTCAATTTAGATCTTCCGTCGAATATCAGCTATATGGAAGATTTAGCCATGCCCACATAATTTTATCCAATTAATGAACATATTTTCTAATTGACTGTTTTATTTTAAACACTTGCTTTTATTGCATTTTGCGTAAAAAGAGGTTTTAGCGAAATGGTCTGTCAACCGGTTCAAGGAGCGCCTTACCCGATTCAAGTTCGGTTATCGATACTATCGACTGGATACAAGTGGTGCGCGCCAAATATAAATTGTTTGAAAGTTAATGAGCGAAAAGGATTTAAATGCAATCTATTTTTTACATAAGTCACTTAAGTCTGCGCTTTGCCATGTATTTAATGACCATGTTAATAAATATAATGAATTATTGTAGTTTTTAGTACTAAACAAAACTGAAACCGACGCGGAATCGGACACTGACGCTCCGACCGGATCACCTACCGGATCACGACTACGCGCAGCCCACACTACATTACTACTTCAGCAGCGACGACACTGATGACTTTGACTTATCTACGGACAGTGGAGAATTTTCCGGCCATTTATCCGACGCGTCCTCGGTGTCTGCCGCATCGTCGGTGACAACAGTCGTCAATGTATACGGGATCCTACTGATGAGCGGCAGTGCAGGCACCTGGCCATTACTAGAAATCGTCTTCTTCGTCTTCAAAATTTACAAATTTTTGAGAAGTATAATATTGAGATGGGACATGATTTTGAGAGAGTTAGGGAAGCGACAAAAAGTAGCAGACATCGATGTTTTAAGATCTCACTAGGGGGGTTGAAAATTTTCGGCCACACTGAAAATATTCAGAAATGTTGCCAATTTTGGAAGTGCGAAAATGTTGCGAATTTCGTAAAAGGACGATGTGGCGAAGAAAATGTTGCCACCAGATGGCGCGCTTTTTCAAGACTCATTGCAGTGTTGGGAAGAGTACCGGTTCGGTTACGATTGACAGAGACGACACCTGGCGATGAAATCGGTCAACAGGGATGTAACAATAAATTACTCGCAGCTATGAAACTTGGCGCAAATTTTGAAAATATAAAATTTAAACAAGAAAACGTTTATCTACTCTGATCTTTTATATATTACTTTTAACATTTATATAAGAAAACACAAATACATCGCATGGGTGAGTGAAAGATTGATGTTGAGATTGCTGTAAGTTGTATGCAATATCTTGCCCGATCTGGGAGTGGTATGCCATTCTGACTCTCTAGTTGATATACTAATAAAGTGTAAGGGATTCTTGATCTTCCAACGTTTGCCATTACTTCAAATTGTATAGCAAAAAACCTATGTAAGTTGCCTTCAATGATTTTTCCTCTGCAGCTATGCATACTATACTCGTACAATGTACACATGAATACTTTAACCTGTTAAACATATTGAATTGGCGGAGTTACCAATACTCGTATACCTCTGCCGGCTACTCCTTTGATGGCAATCCTGATCAGGTTACAGCCGCACGTGGGCGTAATTTTCTCGCAATTAGGATGCGATTATGATAACATGACCGAACGCAGTCGAAAGGGTAATTGAAGAACAGGCCGTTCAACCCATTCCCTTCTTGGTTGCGCTGCTGCTTATGGTGCTGGTGTTGCCACGTGCCACAAGACGCCTTCATCTGGCGGTTGGTCTGGACAAAAGTTTCAATTTGATATTCCTTTGCCTTGCCGAGCGTCTTGGGGTTGTTTCAGGGCATGGATTAAGTTTTCAGGCAACTGGAGCAGCATCCGTGCTGTGCTGTGCTGTGCTGCGCTGTCCTCTGGCTGCCATCTGTGGCTGTGGCTGTGGAAGTGTGGCTTATGCTTATGATGCCAGGGGGGAAAGCCAGCCAGCCGGGGGAAATCAACATTGGGATACGAGCGGACTTTGCATTTGACAAAGTGCGAAATCCTTTACACTTTGAAGACTGATTGACTTCTTATCCTTGAATAGATTTGAATAGAATTTTACTTCACTTTTCTTCGCTGCTAATGGGGGGTGCATAAGGAGCTGGGGGGTTGGTTGGAACGCCTCTCTGCCCTGCTCTGAGTCCTATATAAACAAACGGAAGATAATCAAGATGTAAAACACAATCCGGCAGAAGTGTGGCGGGGGGTCGAGGGTCTGCCGGTTGGGGGAGTGAGGGTGAGGATGAGGGCGAGGGTCTCAGGCTTTAACACGGAAGCTGTAATTCAAAACCAAACAAAATCGTCAAAGAATCAAAAGGCAAGCGATGGCAAATTACAGATCTGTGAGATGCGATGCTAGGGCAAAAAAAAAAAACAGTTCGTTCCAGTTACAGTTGCAGTTGCCTCACACAAAGGGTGCAGAGATGAGGACGGGACGGGGTTGGGGACGGGGACGGGGACTGTGGTGGAAGAGCGGGGCTGATGAAAAACGTCGCTGAAAAGTTGTGAAACGGAATTTCGCTTTGTACTTGGAAAACTGTTATTAACTTAATGAAGGAGTGTTGCGCGTCACATTTACCTGACACGTGATTCGGGATCCGAGCACCGTTCACCGTGCACTAGCATGTACCATGTACCGGAAACCCTGGGTCCGGCAGCGGCTGGGGGAAGAAGGTAATTAATTGCAATGAGACTCTTCTTACGTTCATTCTTAATTTCACTTTATTCACACATTTTCCTGGATGCTGGAGCTGTCCTCTAATCTATTGGGGAAACGTGGAGGGTACGAATTATTTAACTGCTAGCCTCTTGTGGTCTTTGTTCCTTCAGACTGTACCTCCCGGAGTACAGTAAGAACTAACTGAAGAAATTGTGGGTCTCCGCCGTGGGTGTTGTAAAATTATTAAATTGATTTAATGCTTTGCAGCTATGATGACCTCCTTGAGATTCATTGGGGTTCGCCACAGCGGAACTTCAGCCATTTTCCTAGAGACCTAACAGCAGCTAACCAAACCAAGAAACTGGCTGCTGTAATTAAACAGATGCTAAGAGTAGCACACAGACTCCCGCCTCAGCCCCAGCCACAGCCACAATTTAAACGACACATGGGAGCAGCGACGGAGTGGGGCTCTGCTCTCCACGAGTGTGTAACCGTATCTTCGCTTTGGCGTTGGCTTTGGCGTTGGCGTTGGCTTTGACTTTGGCGCCCAGATGAAGCTCATCGAGCAAAGTGGCAAGTTAAGTAAACAGTTTCATTGTGCGAATTCAATTAAAATTTATTCAAAATACGTCAAAGGCAGCTACTCAAAGCTGCTTCTTCTACTGCTGCTGCTGCTGCTGCTGCTGCTGCGGCTGTCTGCCTGCCTGCTGCTACTGTTGTTGCCGCTGTCGCTGCTGCTGCTGTTGCTGTTGCAACAAAGTGTCCCAGTATCTGCATCTGTGAAGTTTTCCTGCACACAGATATAGATACGCACGCTCTAGCGGATGTAAGCTATATACACGCTGTCCCTCTCTCTCTCTCTCTCTGTCTGTCTGTCTGTCTCTCTTTCTCTCTGTATTGTGTGGCTTCCATTGGCAAAGAGGGCGTGTCGAGAGTTGGTCACGCCCCACTATAGCAGAAAAGAGACAACCATATACATAGATGGAACTCTTGAAGGGAAAATACTTAATGAACATACTACTTACACTCTCACAATGTATCTGTGCAGCTGTGTGCGTGCAGTGCGCCACTTGTCGGCTTTGTTGTTGTAACTGTCTTTGAGAGTGGTGTAAATGGCAATTTGTCGGGCGGTGGCGATGGTGGCACAGTTGAGTCGCCCCCGCACACGGTAGCGCGAGTCGTGTTGACAGGCCGCATTTGCTAGCATTGGCATCCGCCTTGCTCATTTCTGCCATATCATCGCAGTCATTATCACCACGCCACGATCATCATCATCATCATCAACATCAGCCGTCGTAGTCATTGACCATGTTTGAAAAGTCTCTTCTCTTATTATTCCTTTGTGTGAAAACTACCTGCCACACCGTCAGCCCCATCCGACAGGCTGTTCCTTTCCCCCCAACAACTAAATGTGTTGATGCATGGAATTATGTAACCTTAGATCTCTGCATTTTCAACCCTTTTAGGATTTAGAAATAATAGCGCATCCATAAGCTACCCATAATCGTCTTCCGCTCCATTCGGAGCCATTCTTAAAGCTTTGCTTAAAAAAAACATTGCATCCCACATGCCTCGGCCGCCCCAAAGGACATTGCCAGTGACAGGACCGGCTCGACAATGGCTGAAACAGACCCGCGCCGAGTCCAACGCCAGCTCCAGCTCCGCTCCATGACATTGACGTCCATTGACGATGATGTTCATGGTGTTCTCCTTGTCGCTGGGAATGTGGCTATATGACGATGAAGTAACAAGGAAGAACGACATTTCACGCTAACGAATTCAATTGAGTTGAATTTTTCATTTAAGGTTTATTTAACTTTTTTATTCCATTTCCAGAGGAGCAGCA